GGTCTTGAAATTTAAGCGAAAAATAAGAGATCCTTGGTATGATTAGGGTGTGCTCACATGTGGCCGCCATATGCCGGAGTTTCAGTTCGATTAATGTTAAACCGGTCACCACTACAAATGGCACAAGCGACTAATTTTGTTGTTACCGATTATTTCAAAAATAGGGAGCCACCTCTTGAACAAAGGAACTACGTCTGTGTGGTGCACTTGTCAGCTTTTATGCCCGCACACTCATTTTTACTGCTAATGGCTGTGGTAGCATGAAAAACGAATTTTCAAATTAGTTTTTGCCAGTTCGCTCAGTGTATATATATATACACTTTGCTGCAGCCTGCCTTTCTCAGCTTTTCTAAATATATGTTTGATTTGAAGGATTCGGAAGATCCAGCCGATAGAGAGAAGCAGAGGACGATGTCGTCGTCATATACGGGACCGCAGATCAAGGGAGCTGCTGATTTGGGTGAAGTGGAAACTCCCTGGGGACGTTACAAGAGATACCGTATGGTTTTTAGCTTAAAGAAAATATGCTTCATAGAGGAAGGGACATTTAGAAGCTCTCAGATTACTTTTATGTTTTACTTTGTCAGCGATAGAGCGATAGCTATTCAAGTGTCTTTTTCTGCAGACGCTCCTAATCCGACAATTTATCAGTACGAGCCGTCATCTGGTTTGTATTATGACCCTAGCACTGGTCTCTATTACGACAGCAATTCGCAGTATTATTGGGATACGAGCGCTCAGAAATGGAACTGCTGGAATGCTACCTATCAGACGTACATACCTTGCGATGCAATGACAGCGCAGTCTGAAAAAGGCCAAGGTTGGTGGGTAGTGATATGTTATGATTTTCTTTTATTGATAAAGCTAGTTTTGGTCGAATGGCCGCATCTTCAGTTACATAGTGGCACTGAGAAGAGCCGTTACAATCATTTTTACGAGGGAAGAAAGTGCGAAAACAGGAAACAAAAGTTTTTTTCGTTGCTAGAAAAAGACAATTTTCAGCGGTAGGGATGTAGAAGCTACGCAAAAGGAGTGCAAATTGTAATGCAGGAGAAAATCCGGGGT